ATATTTTCACATAGTGAGGTAGATATGTGGGGGCGTGTTAGAACGAGCCGTTTTAGGTAGGCGTGGCAGAGTCTTAACTTTGATAAAGAATATCTCTTTGGTTTTGAGACTTTAGACTTTGCAACTTCAGGGATCTTATCTATGCACAATCAGCTTGTAACACTCCAAAGAGAAAGGAAAACTTGAATTTGCATCATGTGACCCCTTTAAAAAGGAAGGTACAATGTTTACTTATTAAATAAAAGCATTAGTCCCTGATATCATAAAAAGATGTTAACAACAATATCCTTTATTATCTAGTAGCTAAACCCAACAGAGTGATAATGTTAGTTTAATGAGGCTGGTGCTCCTCCCCTTTGATGTGGAGCAGTGAGAGGAAACTAGAGAAAGTGGAGCTGCTCCTTAATCTCTCTGAACCACATTCACCAGAGCTTGAGACTCTCAGTACCCCCATACAGACAGGCAGCCTACGGTCTGTGGCACGGAGAGAAGTGGGAAAACAGGCTGGGATCTGTCCCAGCCAGGAAGAAGGAAAGGGGACCGCATCTGACTTCTACTGCCGGTACCTGTAGATCTAATGCACCATGGCAGAAGGAGCGGAGGGAGAGGAGGAAATCCAGTTTTTACGAACAGTGAGTTAAGCTTGACAATATTTTACATCTGATTAGTTTAAAAAAAATACCTAACTATACCTTATTGTTATATATGTGATAATATGTTTATTTATGCATTAGAAATTTGATTCTTAATGAATGAAAATGACTGTAAAGTCATAGAAAATTATTGTTTGAAAGGTATAGGAATCCTGAACTATATTGTATATTGTCAGTGGTATGTTTGACCACATTTTGACCGGTCACGCAGCTTTAATGGATGTTTTTGGATGAATGTGGAGTGACACGACCAGGTGTGTGGATTTGCTGGCATTGTTGTCTATTTATACATAGTGCAGTGCAGAGGTTGGATTGTCACTGTTTGAAACAGGACTTTACACTTGGCACTGCGCACAGAAGCATGAAGGCAACATACTGCCAAGACTAAAATATAAATCTAGGCTACAGACTAAATATACAGGGCAAAGATATATGAATCTTGGATGTAAGAATGAGAGGCCCATTACTGCCATAATATACAGTTGCACTCTATATTGTCAAGCATCTATGGGGAGAGGAGCCCATCCTGTTGTAAATGTCTGGCCTGGCTGTGTTGGGGTTATGTCAACATGAACACCAAGTCATTCTTACCAGAACTAAATCTGTCCTGGATGCATTGAAAGATTTGAACACATCATGGAGTTCATCCAATGCAGAGTTCGAGATAACTACTGTTGTGCTGCTGTTGTTTGTGATGCTGCTGTCTGTGAGCTCTTAGTCTATATACAGAGATGGGATTAGCAGCTTTCTAGGCTTGTCCTAAACCAACACCTGTTTGTTTCAGTCTATTTAAAAAGTCTGTTACATGTCCTCCTACTTTTATGACAGCCTCTAGAGCTTTTCAGCTCATATTTAGAGTTTTGTTTGATTAACTGGAACATTTCAAGAACACTGTTTAACTGTTAAATTAAGAAACTTACACTATTAGTCAAAAGTTTGGACACAGGTTTTAGTTGTTTCTCATGATCGGAAAGTCTTCTGAAATTCTTGAAAATAAGTTTGTAGGCAAATATGACTTGTGCTTGTGTGTGATTTTTCTGATGAAAAAGCTTTTTTTTTTTTTACTTATTAAAAACAAGTTGGACTTGATAGTGAAAGAAAAGCAGTTAAAAAGTGCCCAGCTTGTGAACTCCTGTAATACTGTCTACAAAACATCTCAGGGAGAGGGATCTGCATCTTGTGAAGTCGGATGAGGAATGGTTGAGTGAGCAGAATTCTAGGCAAACTAAAATATGAAAATAAAATATAATTGGCAATTCATTTGTGTTGGATGATTCTACTATTGTTCTAATTCTAAAGTGTAATCTAATTCTGTGTCACACTTTTGACTGGTAGTGTGTATTTCAGATTTTGGATCATTCTTCATTTAAAGTTTTATTCTGGAGTATTGTTCAACAGGAGTCATCCAGCCATTGTCTCTGTTAGACTGTGCTACTGATCTTCAGTTTTGACTGGCATAAATGAATAGTCATTTGTTCATGGCTCAGTTTCCAGTCTGCACTGTTGGCAGATTGTTGGTGCTTCTTTCTTGCTCGAGAAAATTTCATGTAGCAGGTGCTATAGCCTGAAATAGAGGGGGAGAGAATGAGGAGGAGGCTTTGAGAGACAAGTAGGGGAGAAAAGTGATTGAAAAAGAATGTAATGTTTGCGTTACTGTAATTAGATAGGATAGCTAATGTTTCAAAAAGTGACATGCTAAAATTAATAAATCATTTTAAACAGCTTTTTTCTATATCTTTATACATAGATACGTAGTTTTTGTGACCTCATGTTAATCGACTACACTGAATACTTTGTAAATTTCGTTTGACACACAGCAGGTCTATTGCAACTGCAAAAAGTTTATTTAAAAAAATGAAAAGTTATGCATTTCTATAGCAATTTATAATATCTAAAAATGTACATGTTCCTTTATACATGCACATAAATTGTCATACATAAAAATCGAAATAAATAAATGTAAAATTATTACAATATTATTATTACAATTTAAAATAACTGTTGTCTATTTTAAAATTACTCCAGTCTTCAGTGTTACATGATCCTCCAGAAATCATTCTAATATGCTGATTTGCTGCTCAAGATGTTGAAAACAGTTGTGCAGCTTAGTATATCTTTGATGAAGAGAAAGTAAAAAACAATTGAAATCTTTTGTAACAATGTGAAAGTCTTTACTATCACTTTTGATAAATTGAATGCATCCGTGCTGAATTAAAGTATTAATGAAAAAAGGACCCCAAACTTCTGAACTGGAAAAAACAACAAAAAAAACAAACTCTTATTTGCTTGAAAATGCTTGTTGCACTTCCACTTTCATACAGTATAAAACTTTTATTCAATGCAAAAATGAATAATTTTTTATTGTGGTCTCACAATGACTATATTGTCAAGTGCTGGGTCTCCGGTTGCTAGCAGCATGTGTCAGTGTGGACAGGGTTTTTTCACGGCCCACTGGCTTACATTCCAGCCCTGGAATATCTCAGCAGATGACACACTTACATACATAATACACCATCACACAGGCTAGCCTGTCAAGGACGTGGCCTGTCCCAATTTCTTTATAAAGACATGCTTGCGTTACATCTTTATTGTAAAATGCTGACAAATTACAGAAATATGCCATATTTGTACAACACATCATATACTTCGAACTGAGTCAGTGGAGCGATTAGGAAGTTGTCTATCAAATTAAGACTTTTTGAGGTCACCTTGTATGGGAATAGAGTTACAGAGGGCAGTGCTGCACATAAAATTAGTAGCACCACCACAGGCCTTATCACTGTTGTATTAAGATCCAATGAATTGTTGATTTCATATAACCTACCAGATGTTTCTCACAGGGCTTGAATATATTAATGTAAAAATTTAATTGTTTTTAGTCAGGCCTCATCTTGCGTCCTCATGTCGTTTTGGCTGTAACCTGAGCCATATTCAGGATTAGATGCATGCTGCCCTGATCAAGGTTACAAATGCCATGTTATTTAGCAGCAACGTGTGCTATGGACATGCTGTTACAAAGAAAACATTGATGACTTGTCTAAACAAGTATTTCAGGAAGTGTTTTAATATCTTGCCAGACATCAAATTGGATTTCTATATCTCAATATCAGATAATGCATCAACAAAACAAAATATTGTTTTTATTTATCACAAGGTTGAAAGTTTATCATCAAGTTAAAGACTGAGTTAAAGACTTTTTTTTTTGGTCAAGTCAGTGGGCACCAAAATACTTTGGTTATCAAAATTTTATCAAAATATATTTTAAAGAAAATAAGTCTTAAAGGTTTGAGGGTGAGTAAATCATGACAGAATTTGTATTTTTGGGTGAATGATCCCTTTAACTGTTCTAAAATGTTTAGGCTTATTTAAAACTTGATATATAACCTTAAGAATGACATCTTGACTTTCTTTTTCTTTGTAGGACGACCAGGTGGTTCTACAGTGCACTGCTACTATCCTGAAGGAGCAGATTAAACTCTGTCTGTCCTGTGAGGGTTTTGGAAATCGCCTGTGTTTTCTAGAAACTACATCCAATGCTCAGGTTTGCTTTTCATTTATGTCATTCTAAATTTCTGAAATACATCTGATGTTTTGGATTCCCACTTTTTGTTTGTTTGTCATTCTAGAATGTTCCTCCTGATCTGGCTATATGCTGCTTTATTCTGGAGCAGTCGTTATCTGTGCGTGCCCTTCAGGAGATGCTGGCTAACACAACTGAGCTTAATGAGGTTAGTTCAGAGCACATACATCAGGAATAAGGTCATAGTTACCTTTAAAGGGATAGTACACCAAAAAATTTTTTTTTTAATGAATTCAAGTTAGAAACAACATGAGGGTTATTCTCCATTAAAGTGCACATATTTATAACCTGAAAAATGTTTTCACATTGTTTTTCTGAACTCAGCATGACAGTCTCTTGTCCTCCTCTTTTTTTCTCTTTTGCCCACTGTAGGCAGTCGATTTGGATAAATGGGTAGGTTTCTATTTGAATAAACTTGTCTTTTTGGAGTTTGAAATGTCACAACAGAGAGGCATATAGATACCTATGCAGCTCTTGAATTGTGTATAGTCATGTTTTTCCACCTTCTTCCTAGTCTTCACAAGGAGGAGGCCACCGCACGTTGTTGTATGGCCACGCCATCCTGCTTAGACACACTCACTCTGGCATGGTGGGTCAAATCTCAGTACACGCATACAGGCCATCGCTAGATGAGTATTTTGAGAGAAAATTTACTACAGTGAAAGAATCATTTAACGTTTCCGTTTTTATTGATTGACATTTCTTTGCATGATGCAGTACCTCAGTTGTTTGACAACATCAAGGTCACTCACAGACAAGCTGGCCTTTGATGTGGGCTTGCGGGAGGACTCGACAGGTGTCTGATTTCTAGTAGATCATTATCACAGATGTACTGAGTACTTGTAAATATACAAAACAGAAATCGGACTAAAAGATGTCCTTATCTTCATCCAGGTGAGGCATGTTGGTGGACAATTCACCCTGCATCCAAGCAGAGGTCAGAGGGTGAGAAGGTCAGGGTGGGGGACGATCTCATCCTGGTCAGTGTGTCTTCTGAGAGATATCTGGTAAAGCCCGTCTCTACTGTATGTAGTCAACACAGTCTCTTTTGGATGGAGCCTACCGTTTTACCTGAAAAATCTGTCCAATCAACAGCACCTTTCCTATGCCAGCGGAGACCTCATGGTGGATGCTTCTTTTATGCAAACACTTTGGAACATGAACCCAGTCTGTTCTGGCTGTGAGCTGGCAGAGGGTAAGCTTAAAGCACCAGAGGCCAGTTGCATAAAAGGTTTAGACTAGCCTTACAAGTTAGTCATCAATTTTTTTTCTTTAAAACTGGTCATCATTTTTTAAATTCAGTTACATAAAAGCATACATTAGTCTCAGTTGAATCCCAAAATAACACTGATTACCCCTTGGCTAACAGCTAGTTGGTCAAACTCATACTTAAGACATTGTCTCACCATAGAGGCTAAGTTTATGCAACTGCCCCCAGCTTTACCACACAAGGACATTTCATATGCATTAGGGCTGCATGATTTAGGGATCTAATTGCGATTTAAAATGTGATTTAAAAAAGTTCTATTTTTTCTGTGCTTGTTTATAGGGCTCCACAATTTGGTCAGAAGTTTGTGATTATATAATAATGTGGCTATAAAAATAGCAATAATTGTTGTTATTATTATTAATATTATTATTACTTAGGGGTCATATGATGTTGCTCAAAAGAACATTATTTTGTGTATTTGTAAAGAATATCTCTTTGGATTTGAGACTTTAGTCTTTACAACTTTACAGATCTTCTTTATGCACCAAGAGCTTGTAACACTCCAAAGAGAAAGGAAAAAATGAAATCGCATCATATGACCCCTTTAAGGTTAAAAAAAAACATTATTTTCCACATACTGTATGTTATTGTTTCTCCTCTTTGCCCCGCCTTTCTGAAATGCGTCGATTTTTACAAAGCTCATCGGAAACACACAGCGTCTCCACAACATGGCGGCTGCGGTGGCAGCAACAATAAAGTTACGCCTTCTTTCTTTGCATGAACATTTGGGCGGCGTTATGCAAATCTTCCAACATCGTGACGTAGACATGTGGGTGCGTGTTTAAACGAGGCGTTTTAGGAGGGCGTGGACAAGTCTTAACTTTTATAAAGAATATCTCTTTGGATTTGAGACTTTAGTCTTTGCAACTTTAGGGATCTTATCTATTCACGAACAGCTTGTAACACTCCAAAGAGAAAGGAAAACTTGAAATCGCATCATATGACCCCTTTAATAAAATTTATAAATAAAAACAAGAAATATATCTAATGTAATATTTCACTGTAAAATAAAAAAATCAGTATTTAAAAAAATATATAATTTTATTTTACATTACAACTGTAAAATTACAATATTAATAATGATGGCCATCTAAATGTATGCAAATGCATTGTGACTAATATTAAAATGCATTGTGGAGATCATCAATTTTTTCATTGTCTTTACAACAAACCTAATGCATTATTTTGTGATGTTTCCTTGGTTCAGGATATCTGACTGGAGGGCATGTTCTGCGTCTTTTCCATGGGCACATGGATGAATGTTTAACAATTCCTGCTGCTGACCAGGGCGATGACCAGAGACGGTGAGATATAAAGCCATATTGTATTGTAATGTAAGCAATTTAATGTAATTTAATTCAATGTAAACATGCACAATCTACACCACAGTTAATCTTTTCTTGTTTTGCATAATCTTTCAGAAATGCACACTATGAAGGTGGACCTGTGTGCAGCCATGCCAGATCTCTGTGGAGGCTGGAGCCTCTTCGAATTGGGTTGGTGCTATTTGTATACAGCAGAGCCTTAACAAGCAGAAAATATGTTTTTCTCCCTTTGAGCATATATTCAACCTCCTGTACACAGGTGGAGTGGTAGCCACATGAAGTGGGGTCAGTCCTTCAGGGTGCGTCACATCACCACAGGCAGGTATCTGTGTCTGGATGAAGAGAAAGGACTCCTGCTTGTGGATGCGGAAAAAGCGAATACGAAGAACTCTGCTTTCTGCTTTCGTGCTTCAAAGGTCTGTATACTGCGCTCAGTATTATAACCTACTCTCTGGGAGGTTACTTTTTTGGAAATGTTTTCTAACAATCTTTGACATCAAATGTCATGTGACTGAGTAGGAGAAGACGGAGGTGGCTCAGAAACGTGATGTGGAGGGAATGGGGATCCCAGAGATCAAGTATGGAGAGTCCATGTGCTTTGTGCAACATGTCTCTACCAGCCTATGGCTCACATATGCCTCGGTGGATGCCAAGTCTGCTCGGCTGGGGCCACTGAAAAGGAAGGTAGGAGTATTAATCTCATGTAAACTACGGTTCAAAAGTTTGAGGTCAGTATGATTTTTGTTTTTTTGTTTGAAAGTTTGAAAATTTGCTTGCTAAAAATTCAGCTTTGCCATCATAGGAATAAAAACAGTTATTTTACATTCTAATAATATTTCACAATATTACTGTTTTACTGTATCAAATAAGTGCAGTCTTGGTGATCGTAAGAGACTTCTTCCAAAAAAGAAATCTTACTGACTCCAGACATTTGAACAGTAGTGTAAATTCAATCTAGTCAGGCCCAAAACTGCACAATTCACAGATTTCACCAGTGCTAATATGCGTGTTTCTTTTTCTTAGGCTATACTGCATCTGGAGGGTCACATGGATGATGCTCTGACTGTGGCGCGTTCTCAGACAGCAGAATCCCAGGCTGCTAGAATGATCTATAGCACAACAGGACTCTTCACTCAGTTCATTAAGTATGAAAAAATCCAATCTTAAACCTGCCTATGGTGGCTTAAGCTGGTCTTCGAGGATGAAAGTGACAAAAAAGTGCCCAAAAGCCATCAAAACTGACTAGACTAACCAGCTAGCCATACTTTGAGATCAGATAGATCGGCTTAGCATCATTAACACTAATTTAATTTTTTTTTTTTATTGTTTTTATCAAGGGTAAATATCAGGGTAAAATAAATACTGATTTGTTTTTTTGTCTGACAGGGGTCTGGACTCTCTGAGAGGGAAGAGTAAATCTCCAGGCCCATCGTCCCCGTCTTTGCCTCTAGATGCTGTGGTTCTTTCCTTGCAGGATCTCATCTTCTATTTCCGCCCTCCAGAGGAGGAGCTGGAACATGAGGAGAAGCAGACCAAACTGCGCTCCTTAAGGAACCGTCAGAATCTATTCCAAGAGGAGGTTAGACATGCTGGCAAATATATAAGCAAATACAAATAAATATGTCAAATTTCATTTATACTAATTAATATATTGTCTTTACATTTACATTGCTTATAACATTTAAAAACATACACACATAATTACCAAGGTCTGCTTTGTTGCATAGGGCATGATCAGTCTCGTATTAGACTGTGTTGATCGACTGAATGTCTACAACACTTCGGCCCACTTCTCAGAATTTGCTGGGGAGGAAGCAGCTGAGTACTGGAAAGAGATAGTCAACTTATTTTATGAGCTGCTGGGTATGGCTGTGTTTACTTATGACTAGCATTTAATACATGTAATACTTACCCACACTGATGCACTTAATGATTTACTGTTTTCAGTGTTTTTGGAAAAATGTAAAACCCTTGCATTTTTTTTTCACCCACAGCATCTCTGATCAGAGGAAACAGGGCGAATTGTGCTTTGTTTTGTGATAATCTTGACTGGTTGGTCAGCAAACTGGACCGTTTAGAGGCATCCTCAGGTAGGAAGCCATAATTTATTTAAAACTCCAAATAGAGGCCTTTGAGATTTATTTATGAATCTTGAATCCATGATACATTTTTTAGGATTCTTTTAGGATTTTAGAAAGTTCATCAACATGAATTTGAAATAGAACTCTTTTGTAACATTATAAATGTCTTTACTGTCACACTCGATCAATTTAATGTGTCCTTGCTGAATGAAAGGATTTTTCTTAAAAATAAAAAATCTTCTAAACGGTAGTGTATACTTATTTATTTTAACTGGCAGGCATTCTGGAGGTGCTGTATTGTATCCTTATTGAAAGCCCTGAGGTGCTTAACATCATCCAGGAAAACCACATCAAATCTATCATTGCGCTTTTGGACAAACATGGACGCAATCACAAGGTTGATATCTTTTCATAAGCAAGATTGAAACTTTTCTGGACTGCGTCTTTAATCGTATCTGAACACGTGCTCTGTTGTGATTTTTCATTGTAGGTTCTAGATGTCCTCTGCTCTTTATGCGTATGTAACGGTGTTGCCGTGAGGTCCAATCAGAATCTGATCACTGAGAATCTGCTTCCGGGGCGTGATCTCCTCCTGCAGACCAACATCATCAATTATGTCACCAGGTCTGACTCGGTACAACCCAAATGATATATCATAAAAGAGATCTGTAGATTAGTTTGTTTGGCATATGGAGCTCATGTTTGATGTTTTGCAGTATGAGACCCAACATTTTTCTGGGTACATGTGAAGGCTCTACACAATATAAGAAGTGGTACTACGAGTTAATCGTAGACCATGTGGAGCCATTCCTGACCGCTCAGGCATGTCACCTTCGTGTGGGCTGGGCTATGACCGAGGGTTACAGCCCCTACCCCGGAGGAGGAGAGGGATGGGGAAGCAATGGAGTTGGAGATGATCTTTACTCGTATGGCTTTGATGGACTACATCTGTGGACAGGTGAGGATTACCTTCCTCCATCTGTTCCAGCACATATCCCACTGAGCTCATCTATAACATTATGCTCTCAACATCAGGTCGAGTACCACGTCAGGTGTCCTCATCCAATCCACACATTCTCGCGGCTGGAGATGTGGTGAGCTGCTGTTTGGATCTGAGCGTCCCTAGCATCTCCTTCCGGATCAATGGACATCCCGTTCAAGGCATGTTCGAGAATTTCAACCTGGATGGTCTCTTTTTCCCTGCGGTCAGCTTCTCAGCTGGGATCAAGTAAGAGCCAAGCTTTTAATTTCAACGAATGTTAATATTCCCTCCTGGAGCCGGATTGGACCTGACCTAAATAGGACAAATTAAAAAATGCGTTCCAATTTTTTGCCATCAGAGTTCGGTTTCTCCTTGGTGGGCGGCATGGAGACTTCAAATTCCTTCCTCCTCCTGGTTATGCCCCATGCTATGAGGCAGTTCTGCCCAAAGATAGACTGCGTATTGAGCCCATTAAAGAGTATAAGCATGACTTCAATGGGGTCCGGAACCTTTTGGGACCGACCCAGTCTCTTTCCCACACTGCCTTCACTCCTTGCCCAGTGGACACTGTGCAGGTGAGATTTCATAAAATGTAGTTAAAGGAATTTATTAATAAAGTGACCTCTGCTGTATTGATTTTGCTATCTACATTATTTCTGCAGATTGTGCTTCCTCCTCATCTAGAGCGGATTAGAGAGAAACTGGCTGAGAACAGCCATGAGCTGTGGGCCGTCACTCGAATTGAGCAGGGCTGGACCTATGGATCGGTCAGTCTATGAAAACATAAAATAAAAATATAATTGAAGGAGATAATGACTATTTTAAAATACTATGTGCACAATTAAAATATTTAATGTATAAATAATGTGACTTTTTGTTGATTTTTCTCTGTATCAATTCATACTCAATACTGTCGGTCTGCTGTCCCCACCTTTTCAGTTTCGTGATGACAACAAGAAGCTGCATCCTTGTCTAGTAGTTTTCCAGAGCCTCCCAGAGCCCGAGAAGAACTACAACTTGGCAATGTCTGGAGAGACACTGAAGTGAGTGAAATACTGAGCTTCTACATGTTTGTTTCTGTGTGCTTAATTAATCCATTTCTCTGTATTGTCTCAATAGGACTCTTCTGGCTTTAGGATGTCATGTAGGTATGGGTGATGAAAAAGCAGAGGAGAACTTAAAGAGGATCAAACTTCCTAAAACGTCAGTATTACAGAATATTCTGATAGCCGCTAATAAGTCTCAATTGCTTAAACAGTGTTTGTTTACACTACCGTTCAAAAGTTTTAGGGACAGTAAGATGTTTTTTTTATTTTTTTTAAAGAAATTAATACTTTTATTCAGCAACCAGCAAGATGCATTTAATTGATCAAAATGTCAGGAAAGACTTTTACATTGTTACAAAAAATTCTGATTCAATGAAATGCTTTTCTGTTGTTTATTTATCAAAGGCTCCTGAAAAACGTATCATGGTTTCCACAAAAATATTAAACAGTAAAGCTGTTTTTAACATTGATAATAATAAGAAATGTTTTTGATCACCAAATCAGCATATTAGAATGATTTCTAAAGGATCATGTGACACTGAAGACACCTACTGAAAATTCAACTTTGCCATCACAGGAAAAAAATTCTTAATATTTATTTAAATAAAATTATAAATTATAAAAAAAAAATTATTTAAATTTTAAAGTGTGAAAATTTAAAATTGTAAAGTTTCACAATTTTATTGTTTATACTGTATTTTTGATCATTACAAAAATCAGTTTTGCGAGCATAAGATACTTAACGACCTCAAACTTTTGAACAGTAGTGTAAGTAACCAAATACATAATTCAGTGACAAAAACAAAAGCAAAATAATGTTGTCTGAACTTAAATTAGTTTCTGCTTATTTCTTAGGTATATGCAAAGTAATGGATACAAACCTGCTCCTCTGGAACTCAACCATGTGAAACTGACACCGAATCAGAACACACTTGTGGAAAGGCTAGCTGAAAATGGACACAACGTCTGGGCTCGAGACCGTGTTCGTCAAGGCTGGACTTACAGCATTATTCAGGTAGGGCTGCACACTTTTTTTCAGGAGCAAAAAAATATAAACAACAACAATAAATTACAAAAATAAGGAAATGCAAAAATGTATCCAGAGCACGGCTTATCCTTTACAAGTCATTTTGACACACAGTTTTAATTTAGATTTTTTTTTCTTCATATTTTTGTACCTGAGAACTCACATTCAACCATTTTCTGACAGAAGTACTCTTTCCTAAAATCTTTTGAAAATATTAAGATATGCAATATTAATAATAATAACTAGAAGATTCGATGAGATTAGCATTTTAATACCTGATCGTTCTTTAGGGTTTGCTTCATTTGCTTCTGATTTTACTTGTTTTAGGACATTGTGAACAAGCGCAACCCCCGTCTTGTGCCATACAATCTACTGGATGAAAAGACGAAAAAGACCAATCGTGACAGTGTATGTGCCGCTGTACGGACTCTGATTGGCTATGGCTACAATATTGAGCCACCTGACCAAGAGAGCAGTGAGTCTGTCCATCTAATCATTCACTAAATCAAACTCTTCAAAGGGAACTTAGTCATACAATGCATTTTGTATTTGTAATATTTCACTCATCAAAGCCTCTGTGACCATTTATTCTAGGTGGACATGGGGCTGGCAGTGGTCGGAGTGATAAGATCCGTGTGTTCAGGGCAGAGAAATCCTATGCCGTAACCCAGGGGAAATGGTACTTTGAGTTTGAGGCGGTAACAGTGGGAGAGATGAGAGTTGGGTGGGCAAGACCAAGCGCCCATGCAGACAGAGAGCTGGGATCAGATGACCTGGCCTATGTCTTCAATGGATTCAAGGTACTTCAATTTCATTAGCATTGTTAGGGGCTTCTTTGTTTTAAGAACCTCCTACAATCGTTCATTGCACCAATATGCTTACATTAGATATTAAAAAGAACCTTGACAAGTATTAGTTTTGATTAGGATATCAACACCAAAGAAAGGATCATCATAATACTGTCATTAACTCTTATGGTCACCAAGGCTGTATTTATTTGATCAAAAATACAGTGAAAACAGTAATATTTTTTCATTACTCCAGTCTTTAGTGTCACATGATACTTCAGAAATCATTCTAATATGCTAATTTGGTGCTCAAGAAACATTTCTTATTATCATCAATGTGGAAAACAGTTGTGCTGTGTAATATTTTTGTTTTCAGGATCCTTAAATTAATAGAAAGTTCAAAAGAACAGCATTTATTTGAAATATAAATATTTTGTTACATTATAATGTTTACTATAACTTTTGATAAATTTAATGCTGAGTAAAATATAAATATCTTCAAAAAAAGTAACTTAATAGTACTGTATGATATAATATAACTGATTTTTAACCATAGGCTCAGCGTTGGCACATCGGGAATGAGCCGTTTGGCCGGCAGTGGCAGTCTGGTGATGTAGTGGGCTGCATGATCGACCTGACGGAGCAGAACATCATGTTTACTCTAAATGGAGAAATGCTCATCAGTGACTCTGGATCTGAGATGGCCTTCAAAGACATTGAGATTGGAGAAGGTGAGAGTCACAAAGGAAAATAAGAGTCACAAAACATGACATTAGTTGCTGCTGTTACATTTAATAATGTCTGTTCTCCTGACCAGGTTTCATCCCTGTATGCTGTCTGGGGCTGTCCCAGGTGGGTCGTATCAACCTTGGGCAGAATGTGAGCAGCCTGCGATACTTCACAATCTGTGGCCTGCAAGAAGGTTTCGAGCCTTTCGCCATCAACATGAAGAGAGATATTACCATGTGGTTCAGCAAGAGCTTGCCACAGTTTGTGCCTGTGCCAACAGACCACATTCATATTGAGGTAAAAACACACTGAAAAAACCTTATTAATTCATGTGAATCTGCACAGCTCAGCTGCAGGTTTTTCTTTATTTTCTCAAGCCATTGATATTAATATTAAGTAAAACTAAAATTATTAAAAATCATTTTCATTCATTAAAATAAACCTGAAATAAAATAAAATAAAATAAAAATATTAGATTCATTTTAATTGCACTGAGTAAATGCAGCTGGATAAAACAAAAGCTGTGTCCGTCTTCATTTCAGGCTGCAAAGAACAAAATGTGATTATTTTAAAGGGGGGTGATTCTTTTCTATACCCACTGTATATACTATAATAGTATAAAAATAATGCTAAAATAACACTGTCTCAGACCCTTTTCTCCTTTAATTGCTTCAATAGGTGTCCCTTGTGGATGGAACGGTGGATAGCGCCCCCTGTCTGAAACTGACTCACAGGACATTTGGGTCTCAGAATGCCAACACAGACCTTTTGTTCTTTAGACTTAGCATGCCAATAGAATTCCACGAAACCTTCAAGGTGCCAGTGGGAGCTTCTCCCCTCACCCGAACCCTCACTATCCCTGAGGATGAGGCTCTTGAGGTGGACCCCGAATCTGAATTTGAGCTCCTGAAGAAGTCAGCCACTCGCAAGGAGCAAGATGAGAAAGAAAAAGAGCCATCCGTCCCGAAAGAGCTTCCTGGCAACAAAGAGGGCGAGAATGAGAAGGACATCACCACAGAGAAGAGCAAAAAGAGAGGGTGAGAAAAGATACAGTAGATGACAGATCTGTAATTCTCTCGTTTGATTCTGAAATGACAAAATAGCTGTGATTTTCAGCTTTTTTTCCAAGGCGAAGAAAGCAGCGTTTATAGCCCCACCACCGGTGGTTCCAACAGTGCCTCGTCTGATGGAGGATGTTGTCCCAGATGATCGAGACGATGCTGATATTATCTCAAACACAACGACTGTATGGAAATTTTAGAATCTTTTCCTTACTAAATATCTTTGTATCATTTGCTTAATTTCATCTAAATAATACTTTGATCCAAGACAATGTTGTCATGTGTAACAAAAGCCCTTCTTTTCATTCCACCAGTATTATTATTCAGTTCGGGTGTTTGCCGGACAGGAGCCCAGTGGAGTATGGGTAGGGTGGGTCACTCCTGACTACCACCAGTATGACCCACACTTTGATCTTGGTAAAGTCAGAAATGTAACTGTTACGGTTGGGGACGATAAAGGCAACATTCATGACAGGTAAGACCATTCATGCTGCTACATACTTCAGTACATTTTCCACCAGAACAGGCATGCATGAGTAAGGACCCAGGCTTAACTTAAACCATTTGATATCACTTTTCTCAGAACATCTCAGTGTCTTTCCTCTGCTTTCCTCAGTGTAAAACGCAGCAACTGCTACATGGTGTGGGGAGGAGAGTTTAGCAGCTCACAGCAAACACGCATCAGCCAAGAGGACTTTGTGATTGGTTGCTTGGTGGACCTGGACACAGGACTAATGACCTTTACAGCCAACGGGAAAGAGATCAATGCCTTTTACCAGGTGAGATAAAGTGGTCAAAGTAAATTAGCTTTCACTTGTTTCCTGTAACTGACAACTACATAAGGAACTACTGTAGGTAAATTTTCAGGCTAAGATGTAGAAAGAACTAGATTTTTATATTTTCAGGGCGAATTCCAAACAGAAGTGAGCATCCCTATGCCCTACTCCCTTCGAAGGGCAGAGCCCTTGAAGTGTGTTCTTTGAAGGGTGTAGGGCATTACTGTCTCGTTCACTAACGGGTTTCTGGAAGGGCCCTTCGTGAAGGGATTCATTTGTTCACTTTCGTTTGGAACGTCCCTACAAATGGCATCCCCTTCCAGAAGTGCCCTTCAAGGGCACAAAAAAGCCATTTGGAATTCGCCCTCTGATTTGAAAATGTGAGTGGAAAATATCATTGTTGTGCTATGAGTGGTTGCCAGGGTGTTGCCATGACTGCATGGTTTCAGTAGTGTTCCAAGTGGAATCTAATCTAATCTAATCTAATATAATAAATATAATAATACATTTTTTATTTATATTTATTTAACACATTTATCAAAAGTACATAAACTTTAAATAAAGTAATGATCAAAAGATTGATTCTGTTAAAGCCATTTTTTAATGGCTGTATTGAATTCTGTTTGTTTTTAAATTATTACATATTAATATTATATATTAATTTTATGTAGAAAACTCATTGATGCCAATATTGACGTGATGTGAAAAGGGCCAACATTTTTGACATGTTCAATTTCCTGAAAGAAATTTAAAATACTTAAAAGCACCATAATTTTATGTCCATTTAATGTGACATTAAGCGGTTTCTCTCTGTTTCAGGTGGAACCCAATACTAAGCTCTTCCCTGCTGTCTTTTGTTTGCCATCAAGCCAGAACATGTTACAGGTGGAACTCGGCAAACTAAAGGTCACTATCTCGTGCTAAAGATGTCATTTTGATTGTACAAACATTCTAAAGTAATTTCTGTTACTGTAATGTAAATTGTTCTTCATTTATATTACACTTTTTCTTCTCTATATTCAGAACATCATGCCCATCTCTGCGGCCATGTTCCGTAGTGACCATAAGAACCCGGTACCTCAGTGTCCTCCCAGGTTGGATGTCCAGATGTTGACACCTGTCATATGGAGCCGAATGCCTAATCAGTTTTTGGCCCCTGAAACTGGCCGTGTGAGTGAGAGGCAGGGCTGGAAGGTGCAGTGTATGGAACCTCTTATTATGATGGCGCTGCACATTCCAGAAGAAAACAGGTATTCCATTAATATGAAAATATAACCTGGTTATTTCATTAGAAAATAGAAAAAAAATTTCCTTGATCCTTTGAAATAAAAGAATTCAGTGTTATGAAAAATGTCACTATCAAAACTGAAAACTTGAATTATCGTTTCCTCTCTTCTCTAGGTGCATTGACATCCTGGAACTGTCAGAGCGCACCGACCTAATGACGTTTCATTACCACACACTGAAACTGTATGGCTCTGTATGCGCTCTGGGCAACAACCGTGTCGCACACGCCCTCTGCAGCCACGTTGACGAATCGCAGCTCTTTTATGCCATTGAAAACACCTACCTTCCCGGCCCAATCCGTAGCGGCTACTACGACTTGCTCATCTCCATGCACCTCGAGTCTGCCAAGCGCAACCGTCTCATGACTAATAAGGAGTTCATTGTGCCCATGACGGATGACACGCGTAGCATCACCCTCTATTCAGATGCTGAGAAGGCCCATGCGCTTCCTGGGGTCGGCCTCACCACCTGTCTACGCCCCAAACTACACTTTGCCCCAACTGGGTTTGTGGGCACTAATGCAGACCTCTACACCCTCAGCCCCATCATACCTCTGCAGGTAGGTGGAGGAAATTAGATTGGTGTCTTGTTGTGAAGACTACCACAAATTTGGCTTCTTTATTTCTCTTTTCCTGACTCTTTTTGTCTTTCTGTACTGTAGAAGCTTAAAGACCATGCCCTCAGCATGCTTACAGAAGCCGTACAGGACGGTGGGCAGGCCATGCGGGATCCCGTTGGTGGCAGCGTTGAGTTTCACTTTGTGCCCATTCTGAAGCTCATCAGCACCCTGCTAATAATGGGCGTGTTTGATGACAACGACGTCAAACACATTCTGAAGCTGATTGAACCATCCGTCTTCACTGATGGTGAGAACCCGGCAGAAGAACTGGATGCCGCCAAAATTGAAGATGCCGAGCAACAGCTGGTCTGCAAAAAGGAAGGAATGGAGGTAAAAGAGGAAGAGGAGCAAGTAGAGGGTGAAAATGAGGGAGAGCTGCTGGATGAAGGAATGGGAGAGGAAGAGGAAGAAGAGCTTGAGGAAGAGGAGGAGGATGAGCTCGAACCTGAGGAGGAGGAAAATGAAGAGCAGGTGGGAAAGGAAGGGAAAGAGGATGAACATGCTGCGGAAAAAACGGATCGAGAGAAAACAACATATAGAGAAGATGAGAACGAAACTGGTGCAGCAGAGGCAGAAGTGAAGGAAGAGGAGGATGTGGGAGAGGGACTGCTGCACATGAAGCTTCCTGAGTCTGTTAAACTTCAGGTGAAGTACTACTGATTGAAGACTTTCATATGTATTAGTATTTCTCTCACTTGTTGATTTTTCTGTCTTTCTCATCCTTAGATGTGTACTCTCCTGCAATATTTCTGTGACTGTGAGCTGCGTCACAGAGTGGAAGCCATCATCGCTTTCTCGGACAGGTTTGTCAACCAGGTGCAGACCAATCAGAGACAGCGATATAATGAGCTCATGCAGGCCTTCACGATGAGCGCTGCAGAAACAGCCCGCAAGACCCGCGAATTCCGCTCCCCTCCACAGGAACAGGTACTGTTCAGCCACTCTGGAGAGAAAATTCAGCCTTGGTATATATAAAGCTTTTTTAGTTTTATATATACCAAGGCTGCATTTTCTGTCCAGAGAAAAAAAGAGCTAATATTTACACTTACGCTGTTTATTTAGGTGTACATGTTGATGCGCTTTAAGAACAGTCCAGAGGAGGTAGACTGCCCTGTTCCTGAGGGAGTCCGGAATGGCCTGCTGACCTTTCACCATGACCTTTTGGCTCACTGTGGTCAGTTTAACCACACAGAATAATCCCTTTTCAGAGAACATATACTGTCGCTGTTTCATATGAAGACCAATATAATTAGTCCTTGTTTGTTGCTACTAACATATTCCTGTTTCCACATGCAATTTTTTTTAAACCTCAGATCTAAGGAGTCACTGTTCTCAAACATAATGTAGGGAGTCACATGTATTCTCCTTCTCTTTTATAGGGGTTCATATTGAAGAGGAGGAGCAGGAAGAGGAGGTAGACACCTCTCTCCATGGTCGCCTTCTGAGACTAGTGGAGAAAGTTAAGAGCTTGCGAAAGAAGCCGGAGGCTGAGCCTGAACCTGAAGAAGATGAAAAACCCAGTAAATTCTTTTTACTTCATATTAGACTTCAGCGTTTCATATTAGACTTTTTTTCCATAGCATAATTGCACGACCCTTTGCTCTTGTGTCACAGGTACTCTGCAGGAGCTGATCTCCCACACCATGATCCACTGGGCTCAGGAGTCTTTCATTCAGAACCCTGAGCTGGTGCGGCTCATGTTCAGTCTGCTACACCGGCAGTATGACGCCCTGGGTGAGCTGATCCGAGCATTGCCCAAAGCCTACACTATCAATGCAGTATCTGTGCAAGACACAATGGAGCTACTGGAGTGTCTGGGACAGATCCGCTCCCTGCTCATCGTACAGATGGGGCCTGAAGAGGAAAGGCTGATGATCCAAAGTATTGGGTGAGTGCATGATTGCATCCTAAAAAAGTCCTTCAACTTCAATAAGTAACAATAGCAACTGCAATAGATACCTTCTGCTTACACTGCCAGAAATTTACACCATCCTGGAGTTGCAGTTGTCCTCTGTCTTTCTCTTTCAGAAATATTATGAGCAACAGGGTATTCTACCAGCACCCCAACCTGATGAGAGCTCTGGGAATGCATGAGACGGTCATGGAGGTTATGGTGAACGTACTTGGAGGTGGAGATTCCAAGGTATGCAGTTTTTAAAAGTCACATTTTTATGTGATGTTGAAACATTTGATTGGTTTGAAAGATTTTTTTAATTTAATTTGCGTTTGCATTTGCTCTGAGCAGGAGATCAGATTTCCTCGAATGGTGACCAACTGCTGTCGTTTCCTGTGTTATTTCTGCCGTATCAGCAGACAGAATCAGCGCTCAATGTTTGATCACCTGGGCTACCTCCTGCAGAACAGTGGGATTGGGCTGGGTAAAGCCTGGTTCTGAAAGAAACTCACCTTTTTAAGCTTTCATTTTTAATAACTTTTCATCTGCAGGATGTGCTTTTATGTTTAGCCTAGTTAAAATTGAAGTAAATCTGATTTAAATGTTGTTATATTCAGCTATAAATGTTTATTATTTAGTGTCGCATCAATCAACCAGTAAACAATTTTTCAGGAATGCGTGGCTCCACTCCTCTTGATGTTGCTGCTGCATCCTGTATCGATAACAATGAACTTGCCCTGGCTCTCCAAGAGCAAGACCTGGAGATGGTGTGTCAACCTAAAGTACAAATGAAAAAATTTTTGAAGAGTTTTTGTGGCCCCCAAAAAACTCTTTTTGTCTCTCTGTTAATGCAGGTGGTGAAGTACTTGGCAGGTTGTGGCCTGCAGAGCTGCCCTATGCTCTTATCAAAAGGTTACCCAGATATTGGGTGGAATCCATGTGGAGGCGAGAAGTATCTGGATTTCCTGCGCTTCGCTGTATTTGTTAATGGTTTGCATTTATGATGTGATGATGGTTTTAACTAATTGGACAAAGAAGAGACTGTGTAGTTTGCATACATTAGATACTGTATACTCTGGTTTGCTTGTTAATGTGAGAGTCTTTATATGACTACATAAAAAAATTATAATAGTAATTTATGGTATAGCTATATACAGTTTGTATAACGTTCTCATTTCAGGAGAGAGTGTGGAGGAGAACGCTAACGTGGTGGTCCGACTTCTGATCAGGAGGCCTGAGTGTTTTGGTCCCGCATTGAGAGGAGAAGGGGGCAACGGTCTGCTTGCTGCCATTGAAGAAGCTATTAAGATCTCAGAGGATCCTGCAAGAGATGGACCCACTGTTAAAAAAGACAGACGCTTCCCCATGTGAGTGCAAAGCATCTCTGTACTACATTACCGTGTGGTATAATTAAGTCATTTTATCCTGATAAAGTCACCCCGTGTGATGCTTTGTTACTGTTTGATTTCACAGTGGTATGTAGAGAGGTTTTGCAGTGTTTCTTGTTTATGTTGTGTCAGGTTTGGAGGTGAGGAACAGCATGAGGAGAACAGAGTGCACCTGGGAAATGCCATCATGTCCTTTTACTCGGCTCTCATTGATTTGCTGGGTCGCTGTGCACCTGAGATGCATGTAAGTGCGTTTGTATGCCAATGATTGAGTGATATTAAATGAAATCTGCTTAATTGAATGTCTCATGCTTCCTGTCTTGCACAGTTGATCCAAGCTTGTAAAGGTGAGGCTTTGAGAATCAGGGCCATTCTTAGGTCTCTGGTGCCTATTGAGGATCTGGTTGGTGTGATCAGCTTGTCATTCCAGATACCTGCTTTTGGAAAAGGTAATGATCAGTTAAGAGCTTGTAGATAGATGCATGTATTCTTAACATTCTCACACTTCCTGTTTTACTCACTATATTTCAGATAACAGCATCATTGAGCCAAAGATGTCTGCCAGTTTTGTGCCTGATCATAAAGCACCAATGGTCCTGTTCCTGGACAGAGTTTATGGCATCGACAACCAGGACTTCCTGTTGCATGTACTGGAAGTGGGCTTCCTGCCTGACATGAGAGCAGCAGCTTCCTTAGACACAGTAAGATATCTGTATCTTATCTGTATCTTTCTTCACTAAGAAAAATGCTGTCTGTGATCGCATTCAAATGATATGAGATACAATTGAGCTGTGGTGTTCACATGAGAAATGTGGGTTCAAGTTTAGCTTGCAACATTCTATGTACATAACTGTCTGCAGTACTCTGTCACAATTACTATCCTGTTCTTTCTCTAAGGCTGCATTCAGCACTACAGAAATGGCCCTGGCTCTGAACCGTTATCTGTGCTCCGCTGTGCTTCCTCTCATCACTAAATGTGCTCCTTTATTTGCCGGCACGGACCACCGTGCCATCATGATCGACTCCATGCTCCACACCATCTACAGGCTGTCCCGAGGACGCTCTCTTACCAAAGCTCAGAGAGATGTAATTGAGGAATGCCTCATGTCTTTGTGCAGGTGAGTGTTATGCACTGCAGCAAACAGCAATAAAACCACAAGTGTGCACTCAAAACATGTTTAGCTTAGCGGATTATTTTCATAATTTTACTGGTGATTCAACATCCTTTTGCTTATTGTGTAATGTTTGCGTTACAGGTACCTGCATCCCTCCATGCTCCAGCACCTCCTGAGGCGGCTGGTATTTGACGTGCCGATTCTGAACGAGTATGCTAAAATGCCCCTTAAGGTATGGCATTATATCATCACACATCAGTACTATTAATTTAAACTGGTTTCTACAGTTATCTCATCTGTGTGTGATTATTTTGCAGCTGCTTACTAATCATTATGAGCGTTGTTGGAAGTACTATTGTTTGCCCAATGGCTGGGCTAACTTTGGCGTATCATCAGAGGAGGAGCTTCATCTGACCCGTAAACTCTTCTGGGGAATTTTTGAATCTCTGGCCCACAAGGTGGGAATACACCCTCTTTTGTGTAATAAATACAGAAGATGCTGTTACTGAGCTGTTTGAGAGTGTTATTCTGTCCCAAAATGGAGTGAACAGACAGAGTAACATTGTAGCTTTTCTAATTTGTTTACCAACAGAAATTTGATGCAGAGCTATTCAAAATTGCCATGCCTTGTATATGTGCGATTGCTGGAGCGATTTCTCCTGATTATGTGGATGCCAGTTACTCCTCCAAAACAGAGAAAAAGGCCTCTGTCGATGCTGAGGGCAACTTTGACCCCAAACCTGTGGATACCACCAAGTACATTTAATTATTAAATTATTATTTTTAGTGAGAGAAATAGCATGTACAAAAAGTAATATATTTAATTACTTATGCTGTTTTAATGTTCTCTTTTTATAGCACTATCATTCCTGAGAAGCTGGACGGTTTCATCAACAGATATGCAGAATACACGCATGACAAATGGGCTTTTGAAAAGGTATGTATTTTATTATTTGTTCACATATTTATTTATTTATAACACATTGCTAGGGGGTTCTGTGTGGTTGCTAGGGTGTTGATAAATGGTTGGTAGTATGTTATGGGTGGTTCCTGTCTGATTTTTATTATTTATTTGTGTAAGAGTCTTACCAGTGCCTTATAATCCATCAGATTCAAAACAACTGGACTTTTGGTGAGGTGCTGGACGAAAATGCCAAGACTCATCCCATGCTCAGGCCTTACAAAACGTTCTCTGAAAAGGTAACAGACATAATATTATATTAGATTTTCACCCTCTCTGTAACTATGGTGAAGTCAGAAACAAGGGAGGACTAAATCCAAGTGCAGAATAAACAAATTTTACAAAGATAAACCAAAAACATATATTAGAAACAGAACAAAAACACAAGGCAAAACAAGAACCAAAGCGGAGAACACCAGTTAAACACACCCAAGACCTAAATCAATGAATAAATCACTAAAGGCACTGCAAACAGACAACAAGGAAAGGCATTAGGAAACTAAGGTATCAAAATTTCAACATAAAAGTCCAAACCAAGACACAGAAAAGGGGATATTTGACTCTCTCTCAGACTTCATAGTGGTCTTTTTGTTTATTATTTCATATGTTTTAATTCAATAATATTTGCATTAGGATAAAGAAATCTACCGCTGGCCCATTAAAGAGTCCATCAAGGCCATGATTGCATGGGAGTGGACATTGGACAAAGCCAGAGATGGAGATGATGAGAAAACAGAGAAGAAGACAGCTCGCAAGATCTCACAGACTGCACAGGTAAGGACTGAGTGGAAAAATATCTTCAGATACTAACCAAATACTAGCTACATACTGCTGTATCTAAGTTATGTTTTGTGATTTTTGTTTCTCATATTAAATGACAAATTACATATATTAATTGATACTCTTAATATGAGTATGATATCATAATTCATTTCTTTTCATAGGCGACCTATGACCCCAGTCATGGCTACAGCCCTCAGCCCATTGATATCTCAGGCATGACACTATCCAGAGAGCTGCAGGTAGACGGTGCTAATGCACATTCCCATTTAGTTCAATATCACCATTTCAATACAATAGAGAGCATCATGGCTAACCGCACACTGTGTGATCTAGTCCATGGCAGAGCAGCTTGCAGAAAACTACCACAACACTTGGGGGCGCAAAAAGAAAATGGATTTACAAGCAAAAGGTTTGCATTTCTCCAATGTCTCATCAGTAAACAAATTTTTTAAATGGTTTTGCTGTGTTATTATTATTTGTATTTTTAGTTGAAGCTCATTTTAGTTCATCAACATCTCTCTTAATGTATTTTGAATTAGGGGGCGGGGCACACCCTTTGCTTGTGCCTTATGACACACTGACGGCAAAAGAAAAGGCTCGAGATAGGGAGAAGGCATATGAGCTGCTTAAGTTTCTGCAGCTTAATGGATATGCTGTGACAAGGTACAGGAGCCACTAAAAACGCATATATACTCCAAAATAATGTAATTGCTATAATTCTGATTGTCTAAAATATCTCTGTCCAGAGGGCTCAAAGATATGGAAAGTGACATTTCATCTATTGAGAAGCGCTTTGCGTATGGCTTCCTACAGAAGCTGCTAAAGTGGATGGATATTGCCCAGGAATTCATAGCACATCTTGGTACAACTTTCTTTATCCTTTAACCTTGTTCTTTATCCTTATTGCATGAATTTATGTATGAACTGAGATTAACTAAATTTCCTGTGACATTTGTGTTTACAGAGGCTGTTGTGAGCAGTGGCCGTGTGGAAAAGTCTCCACACGAACAAGAGATCAAGTTCTTTGCCAAGGTAAGTCTCTCGTGGTCTATACGCAAAATAAATCTTTCAGCATTTGAATATTAGCACAAGACTGTAAATATTGTTTGTGTGTTTTTTTTCTGTCATCCTCAGATTCTTTTGCCTTTGATAAATCAATATTTTAAAAACCACTGCCTCTACTTCCTTTCCACACCGGCCAAAATCCTGGGCAGTGGCGGACATGCCTCAAACAAGGAAAAAGAGATGATTGCAAGGTAACAACCACAGACACTTTACCAGTCCAATATGATGTGTATGTCAAATACAAGACCAAATCTTATTATGTCATGTGTTTTGTTACTTTAAATAATATTTCATATTACTTTTTTTAAACCTTTTATTTCATCATGTTCCTCTTGCTGCTTTCTTTTCCTACTTCTCTCATATTCATTCTTCATGTTCCTTTGGTTTCCTTTAATTCCGTATCAGCATCTTCTGTAAGATGTCTGCCCTGGTGCGACACAGAGTGTTTCTCTTTGGTAAGATATCTACTCTGCTGTCCTCCATCACTTTTCCTTTCTGTTTTCTTACTGCTTTTATTTTGAGTGTTTTACCTTTCCTTTTGTGTGTTGATCTCCATCAAGCATCAAGTAGAGCATCTAATTTGGTAATCTAATCTAAATCAGTGGTTTTCAAATTTTTTAAGAGAGACTAATTTTATCCCCCAAATATTATTAAAATATTTTAATATTTAATAATAAAATATTTTTACTAACAATAATTTCGTTATTAAAGGTAAGTTTGCCGGTTCCTGTTTCCTTCTTCCCTGAGTCTTGAACTTTGTTAAATACATATATACATTTTCCTTAAATAATCCTGGCGACCTGAGGGTCGCGACCCAGGGTTTGAAAGCCATTGATCTAAAAAGTGTTTATGGGTCTAAAAAAAAAAACCCTGAATTTCTGTCCTTGATTTAAAACCATCTATTTGTGATTTACAGGTACGGATGCACCTGCTATTGTCAACTGCCTTCATATCCTTGCACGCTCACTTGATGCCAGGTACTAAAAGTCGCTGAAATTAATTTCCAGTCAAAGTGGAGAAAGGTTGCACAGCCGTTAAATGTCTTTTTTTAATTTCTCTGATGTTAAAAGAACTGTGATGAAATCCGGACCTGAGATCGTAAAAGCAGGGCTGCGTTTGTTCTTTGAGAGTGCAGCTGATGACATTGAAAAGATGGTGGAGAACCTCAAACTTGGCAAAGTGTCCAAAGGCAATCAGGTACAGCTTGAGTAATACTTACTGTATAAGACAAGGTTCATTTGCTGCATTGTTTTTGCATGGCACTTTTATTAAAGTTTCTTTTTTATTAAAGTCTTTTTGTATTTTGTCTCTCAGCCGGTGAAAGGCGTGTCCCAGAATATTAACTACACCACAACAGCTCTGCTCCCTGTCCTCACTTCACTGTTTGACCACATCGCTCAACACCAATTTGGAGATGATGTTATCCGTAAGGACATTTTTGAAAACTAAATGCGTCATAAATATATTTTTTTATAGTTTTACAATTATGTAGTTAAATTAATGTGTCTCCTCTTGCTTCTATTAGTGGATGATTTGCAGATGTCCTGCTACCGAATCATGTGTAGTATCTACTCTTCTGGAACTGTAAAAACATATCATGCAGAGAGGTCTGTTAGAGTGTATTTGTGTGTGAGTATAAGTCTGTATGTGATGTGACTGTGGTTGAGGTTTCTATAGCTTTCCTCTATATTTACATTAGGCATAGACCAGCACTTGGAGAATGTCTTGCTCATCTTGCTGCAGCCATGCCTGTGGCCTACCTGGAGCCCCATCTTAATGAATACAATGCATTTTCAGTGTACACTACCAAGACACCCAGAGAAAGAGCTAGTAAGTCCTCTCTTTGCAGCTACACTACCATTTAAAAGATGATAAAATACATTTAGAATGTTACAGAAGATTTCTATTCTAAGATTTCAAAATAAATACTATTCTTTTGAACTCTATTTATCAAAGAATTCTGAAAAAAATATTCACCGTTTCCACCAAAATATTAGGCAGTTTTCAGTATTGATGATGATAAATATTTCTTGAGCACCAGATCAGCATATCAGATGGTATTCAGATCACATGACACTGAAGACTGGAGTAATGGCTGCTGAAAATTCAGCTTTTCCATCACAGAAATAAATTACATTTTAAAACATATTAAAATAGTTATTTTAAATTGTAATAATATTTCACAGTCCTGGGCCTTCCGAACCATGTCCATGAGCTGTGTGACATTCCTGAGCTAGACATATTATTGAAAGAGATCGGGGACCTGGCTGAATCGGGGGCCCGCTACACTGAAATGCCGCATGTGATAGAGGTCACCCTGCCCATGCTGTGTAACTATCTGCCCCGCTGGTGGGAGAGAGGTGTGGAGAACTTTCCCGAATTGGAGGGTAAGCTGTGTACAGACGTCACCTCCGATCATCTCAACCAGCTCCTGGGAAGTATCATGAAAATTGTGATCAACAACTTGGGAATTGACGAAGCTTCCTGGATGAAGAGGCTTGCGGGTATGAGAAGTTGTCATTCTCAAGTCTGTGCTTGTATTTTAGTTTCAGATCAGGTTCTTCAACATAATATTCTTGTCTCGATCCAGTGTTCTCCCAGCCCATTGTAAGCCGAGCCAAACCAGAGATGCTCAAATCCCATTTCATTCCCACCATGGAGAAGCTGAAGAAGCGTACGGCTAAAGTAGTGGCTGAGGAGGAGCACCTACGCATGGAGGGGAAGTCTGAGGGGGACGAGGAGGAAGGAACTATTAGAGATGAATTTGCAGTTCTCTGTAGGGACCTGTATGCGCTTTACCCTCTTCTCATCCGCTATGTGGATAACAACAGGTATTTTGTGGTTCCTGTGTAGGTTTTTTTTAATGGATTAATTTTTAACTGTCTTGACATTTTAAATGCCACATGGGTTTTAGAGCAAGATGGCTGACGTGCCGGGACCCAGATGCTGAGGAGCTGTTCCGCATGGTGGGAGAGGTCTTCATCTTCTGGTCCAAATCACATGTAAGAGACAAATGTCTGACTATTGGGGAAAAAAAAAAAAAACCTCATCGCAACTCACAGTATCAGCAGTCATGATAAATAAATTAATTGAAACCGCAACTAATGACATTCGAAAACAACAACCTACAATTCTGTGTACCTCACTGATCTTCTCATTCTCTCTGCAGAATTTCAAGCGAGAGGAGCAAAACTTTGTGGTGATGAACGAAATTAATAATATGTCCTTTCTCACTGCTGACAGCAAGAGCAAAATGAGTAAGGTGAGGAGGCTCTTTGAAATGTACAATCAATGGGACATACACTTTCATATTTGATCAATGATTTACTTCAATATTTGATTATGTGGTCAGAGTATTTTTTATTGAGTGAATTAACATATCTTTATATTAGTTTATACTGTATATTGACAATTGTACATTCATTCATTCATACATTCATTCCTTCATTACATTTACATAAAAGTTGTGTTACTCTGGAATGATTTATGTACTATTACAGTATTTATTAAGATTTTGAAGTTGCTTTTGTATTTTGAAGTTTGTTTTAGTAGTTAATTTTTTTGTTAATTTTTATTAGTTTATATATATATATATATATATATAGCTTTATTTTTATTTCAGTTTTAATACCTCAATTTAAACTTATTTCAGTTAGTTGCCAAGGCAACATTTCTCAAATTTGTTTTTGTAAAAGAATTTGTAAAAAAAAAAAAAAAAAGTGTTAAAGTGTTTCATCTAATATTTAATTTCAGCTCTGTCAATTTTTAAAACTGTTAATAAACCAACAGTGAATGGTTGTTTTGGCATCAAGCTCCGCATCAAAGGTAAAGTATGCTGTGCTTTCATGCGTTTTCTGAAGACGTTGCGTTTATTCTTAGTCAAAAAGGCAAGTGCTTTTCGGATGCGTTTTACAGGATTTAGATGACAGTGTTAATGGTGTTCTCTCTCTGACTGTGCCCTGCCCTCTTTTTCTCTTCTGGATGCTGGTGGGTTTCTAGACCGGGGACTCTGAGGTTAGCTTCTCTGTCTGCACGACTGCTGTGCTACCGCATGGCACCTCACATCTTGGGGGGCATTTCATCAACCCCCTCCAACACACTGGCACTCTACACACACACACACACAACTGTGACTTCTCGACTGTTTGACAAGACTAGTGTTGATAGGAATAACACGCTCTCCATTACATGTTTCATTTGTGGATAGCCGTCATGCTAGATAGCATAATGGTTGTTGTTTTTTCCCCAAAATGGTAGTACTCTTAACGGATCAGATTTCTAATAGATACACAATTTAAAATGTGAATTTAAGAGAATATAATACAAGAATTATGGGTAAAATGGCTACTGTCATGCAGAAGAAAAGATTAGCCCTCTCAGTCTCAAGAATCATTCCATCCCCATGGACACATGGGCCATAGGGCGCCCGTCGTTCTGCCAGTGTGAGGGGGGAGTCTGAATGGAGGCGTTTGATGAAAGATCTCTTTGTAGAGTCAGGCTCATGGCACTTGATTCCATATCCGTCGCACAGGGTCCGAGCCCCTGGAGGCCTGTGCCATCACCCTGTACAGCAGTTTGCATCTGTTGGACTGTAGTTCGGATGGGGATCTTCATACATCTCTTCTCTTCCTTTTCTTTTTGTATAACGGCTGCAGGTTGGGGTCAATATTTAATCTGTTCAGGAAGTCAACTGAGACCAAGTTGCAGAAATGCACACATCAAGCGATTCAAACTGTATTTCAGTTCATTTCCTAAACTGGATTCATGTGAAGGAATTTGACCTCAATTAATGTATATTTCATCATACATCCTCCTTGACAAAGGGGGACATTTAGAGTCCATCCTCTAATGTGTGCCTACTTAATCCCACCTTAACTGGAATTGTTCCTGTACTTATATCCAATGGCTTACATCTCCATATTGTTCCATTTTTGTCTCCCCATCCACCCCTTTTAACCCATGACCCCTGATGCAATCAAAAGCAAATGATTGAGGTGGGATTGTGGAAAAAAGGGATTACATTTACATATTGTAGAACTAATTAACCTGTAAAACTTGACTTTAATTGTTCAGTTGCATTAACACAGTGGTCTACAGCTAAAACGAATCCTGAGTACCACCACAACAGAATAGATTAATTATTTTATTCAGACCAGTGTTGAAGTCCATTTAAGACTCCCAAGACCCAAATCCAGACCAATACCAGAGCCCTTAAGATCCAGACAAGGACATGTCGGTCCAAGGTATGAGACCCACACAAAGTCCATGTTTATTTCATTTTGAGTGGGCTTAACCCTCAAGTCTACTGTATCATATTTAATACACAAATTTCTAAGGCCTCTAAATTATCAACAGTGCAACAGTGTCAAGATTGAAAAGCCTCTTGTATACACTACTACATGCTTTTTGCTATGAAAACTTTACTGATTTTTATAAAGTAAACATAGGAATAACTTTGATTTTAGTAATATTTTAAGATGGACTGAAGCAAATTAGGTTTACTTGATTATCCATTCATAATTTTTCTTTTTTTCTTCTTTCTTTCTTTGAGCTCTGAGCTAGTCGATCAAATATGATACTCAACAAAAACACATACGCAAACTTCCGTTTTAAACTTAAAAAAAAATAAAAATCAACCGTTTCATTTAAAGGGGTCATATGATGCGATTTCATTTTTTCCTTTCTCTTTGGAGTGTTACAAGCTCTTGGTGCATAAAGAAGATCTGTAAAGTTGCAAAGACTAAAGTCTCAAATCCAAAGAAAGATTCTTTATAAAAGTTAAGAGTTAACCACGCCTACCTAAAACGGCTCGTTCATTCTGACTTATTTCATATGTCAGGCTTTAGAAGCTTAAGAGCTAAACCATAATATCAGTACTCCAATTCAGATTTAAACAACTAGAGTATATTCTCTCTCACACACAATGGGTCTCATTAATGAAGCATAAGCAGAATACCTATTGCATTCAAATCAGTTACATAAAATATGTTTTGCTCATGTTTCCTGAATGAGGCCCAGTGTCTAAAACGGGGAAAGTGTTTGTTTGGAGGGGCAAAACTGGTGCAAACAGGACGTGTGTGATCAAGATTACTTAAAGGGGTCATATGATGCTTTTTTAAAGATAATTATTTTGTGTATTTGGTGTGTTTGCTTCTATGGGTTGGGTTTCTTTAAGGTTGGCAACCCAAAATGAGTCAAAAGCAATCATTTCCCCTTGGTTTTATAATTAACTCCACTGAGTGAGTTTTACTGTGTGGGATTGCAGTTCCTCATCCATCCACTGAGGCTGAGCATGTTATGACTGTGCACGTCCTTGCAGACAATGCATGGAGTGTAATAAACTGCACTGACACGTTACAGTGCCTGCTTCTATTATGTGCCTAAGCTAAGATGATGTTGCAGCTGAATGATTTTTCCCCCTTTTGATGCTTTCACCTCTCTGTTAAGTATTGAGATTTCTACAACTTGTCTTCCCCACTAAGCACCACGATTGTTGTCTATTTTGATAAAAAGCAACCCTGAACATTTACCCTTCCTTCCATCTTAATGACCCTATTAATCAGTGACTCATTTCCAAGGACTGTTCTCTAAAGAAGTCTTAACTTAAAAATAAAATCTAATGACTGAAATAATGCCTTCAAGTAAGGATGGATTGGTCCGTTTAGATGTCTAGGTCCTGGTGAGGGAACAGGAAGCTTTGGTTTTTGCTCAATAAAATGACAGTACAGTCTTGAGGTGGACGCCTATTTTGTGGTCAACAGAATCTGTTGGCGCATCATTCAATATGAAAATCATCTCACAAGAAGCCATAAGGTCTCATTGAAAGTTATTTCATGATGTCTATGTCAGTTGTCATGCTTTGAATGTTACTGTCATCTCAGGCTGGTGGTTCGGATGTGGAGCGTACCAAGAAACAGAGACGGGGAGATCGATACTCTGTTCAAACATCCCTCATTGTGGCAGCCCTGAAGAAAATGCTTCCCATTGGACTTAACATGTGCTCTCCTGCAGACCAGGAGCTCATTAACCTGGCCAAGACACGCTATTCTTTGGTAGTGTAGTCACCAAATATCTGTCTGTGTCTCTATCTATCTTGTCTATCTTACCAGCCTAGATGTTGTAATAAAGTTTCACTTGAAAACTTTAGGTTGGTCACTAAACAGGTAAACTGAGCATGTCTGTTGTGTTGTTGACCCATAGAAAGACACAAATGAGGAGGTCAGAGAGTTCTTGCAAAATAACCTGCACCTCCAAGGCAAGGTAAGTGCATTTCTGATGTTAAAAGTCTTTTTAAAACGTGTTTTTGCAGAAATCTGAATGCCATCTCTCTCTCCTCAGGTTGATAACCCATCTATGCGCTGGCAGATGGCACTGTATAAGGAAATGGCAGGAAAGGCAGAAGATGCAGATGCCCCAGAGAAAGTTGTGAAGCGGGTTCAAGAGGTCTCTGCAGTTCTCTACCACATTGAAGTGGTGAGTTTGAATTCCAAGGTTTAAAACTCCTAATGCAACTCAAATAATGCACATTTTGGTGACCATTCACCCACACTGCGACTATACTTCAGTATCTGACTTAAATTGCTTCAGCTGTTAACCTAAACGACATAATACCCATTCCATATGTGGTTTAAAGGGGTGGTTCACTGGTTTTTTTCTAGGCTTGATTGTGTTTATGGTGTGCAGTCTAACATGTGTTAATGCTTAGTTAAAATAAAAAAAAACGCATTATTTTTCACATAATTTACCTTTATTCCACACCGCTCTGTCCCTTTATAGATTTTTAAGTGCACCTCTAGTTTTCTGTTCCTATTCTCTAAAGCAGAGCAGAATGGCCTCGCCCCCTTTGCTGCCTTTTCCCGAGGGCGGAGTTTATCTGGGTTTGTGATGTCACGAACCCGGGAAGTAACTTGTTGTAGTCCCTACC